GAACTGAAGATTGTAGGCCCTCCTGGGCAACCTACGCTTAGGGGAGGGGACTGTCCGGACCATTCAGACCTGCTCTCTCCTCTCCCATCCCCACCCCTTTTTCTGAAAAACTGCAGGAGACGCTATGATAGAGCAGCCCCGGACAACGGGGAAGAAAGGAGGAGGTGATTTTCCAGGAGGACCCAAAGGGCCGATGGCAGCCACACCGTGCCCCCTGGCTACCTTACCTGCAGCCGCTTGCAGCTCTAGGAGCCCCGACATCACCCCAAACCTCAGTGTTCACATCTCTCCAGCTGGTTGGGCTGTGTGCACTCCCTCCTGCTGCCCTGGGTTGGCTGAGGCAGTTTTGGGTGGGGAATTAGGAAAATCGATCACGATTTACCACCTAAGGTAATAAGATTTGGCACAGAACTAAGAATTCCCAACCAATAGCCAGGGTGACAGGAAGGCATTTCAGAAAAAGGAGCATACCTATTTTTTAAAGTTGGAGCTGCTGTGTATACATCATTTCACTTAATTCTTGAATCGCCACCTTGAGGTAGTCATCTTTGTTCCTAGGGCTCAGATGAGGGAACTCGGGCTCAGAAAATTTGAGTGACCTGCTTGAGGTTATACAAGCAAGAGGTGGAGACAGAGTTTGAACTCAGACAACAAATCCCAGGTCCTTCTCAGGATACTGCCCTACATCCTGTCCCCATTTCTTAAAATCCCCCTTGGTGGCCCATCTGCATAACTCATCGGGCAAACGAGCTTGTGTTTCGGTGGTGGACAGCAGCCTGACTGGCGGGCTAAGGCCTAAGGAACAGGAAGTGTGCAGAAAACTCCAAAGAAGCAGAATAGGAGTCACAGCAAGTGCTCCCCTGTGAGAAGATTCTCTCTGGTGTGATTAAGTCTTTTGTGCTTGCTCTGTAATTATTTGGGATGTTATGAGACTTCAATGACAGGATGCTGCAGGGCCTTCCCTCTGATCTCCCAGGGGCTGGCTACTCTCCCGCCCTCGGTTCTCACCTTAAACGTTGCACCCTCTCTCTGAGGAGCTCCCTGTCGCTGCTCCCTGCTCTTCACGGCCCTTTTCATCACAGTTAATAATTAAGGATTTATTTGTTTACTGCCCATCTTTCTCATGAGACTGTGAACTCCCCAAAGATGGCAACCAGGACTGCTTCCTTCAGCGTTTCCCCGGCACCTCCCGTGGTGCCTGGCACAAAGTAGCAACTCAGTACGTGTTGATCGGATGGATGGATAGATGGATGGATGGATGGACGGACGGACGGACGGACGGACGGACGGACGAACCAGTGAATCGTTCCCAGAAGAGATCCCAAAGGGGTCTGAGGAAATGACCTGATAATGTGATGTAGGGAGGGCTGCGTTACTTCTGGGTTGGGGGAGGTCAGTCAGCTTTCCCCTAAAAACAGGCTTAGAGCTAGTGGCTTCCCAAAGACGATGGTCAGGAACGGTGCATGAGAAAGGAATTAATTACCCCTGTTAGATGCCTGTGTATTCGAAGTTGATGTTTTTCTTATGGCTGGACCAGGGTTATAGGTTTCGGGAGGAAGACCACAGGGATGAAGTGCCTTTTTTATCGCATCGTAGCAAGGGAACATACTATCCACGTGACTTGTAACTGTTGGTATTGACCTTGATCACCTGGCAGATGTAGTGGTTGCCGGGTTTCTTCCCTGTGAAGTTACTCTTTTCCATCCCCTCCCCCTACTCCATGCTGGAGTCTGTGGAAGGAAGTCACTATGAGCATCTCGCATTTAAGCGTGGAGCATCTGCTTAGGTTATGTGGAATTCCTCTGCATGAAAGATTTCTCTTCTTCATTTGTTAATTATTCAATAACTTATTTATCATCTGGACTTATGAATATTCATTGTATATCTTGTCTTATAATCCAATACTACTTCATTCATTTTGTTGCTCAAATTGTTCCAGCTTTGGCCATTGGAACTCTCTCACTTGGCTCCTTTGTCATATTTCCATTATTGGAGCCTTTTTTTTTTCTCAAGAAAGTACTTTATTACTTTCTGGTACAAGGTGTTTCAGGCTCATCTTGCATATTTCCTGGAATCAGTCATTTCTCCAAGGAGCAGGGCTAATTTTTGAAATATGATTTTATATCTTAACTGAGGGCCTTAGCTCAGGACAGGTAAAAGTCAGCTGGGAAACATTAATTTACTAGCATGTATGTGTGCAGTCACCACCACACCCAAACCGTGTGACCGGTTAGAAAAGCTCTGGCTATATACTCCAGCCACTGAGCTACTGGCACTCTTGCTTGGTTCCAAGATTCAGATAGCCTGTTATCTTCATTCCTCCCTAAACATTGTTATGAGTGTTATAACAGACAGGTTAATTACAGATGAGAGGAAACAAACCCAAACATTTTCACTCCAAATTATCAGTAGTGTTGCAGGAGGAAGAGACGCTGGTGTTACAGACATTGCTTCTCAAACCAATGAGTGCATGCCCAGGGCACACAGCGTCTGGCCAAGGAACAGGCAAAAATCGAAGTGCTATCTTCCTGGATCAGCAACTTTCTTTGCTATTTGAGGAAGTGGGGAACCAGCCGTTATTAAAGCTAATAGGGAAAATCCTTATTTTCAAATGAAAACCAAGTTTGACGATATATGAGAGTTTTGCTTAAACTAAATGAAGCCTGTAAGTGATGTTGTATCGGTAGGGTGGCTTCAATCTGCACTTCCCTACTTGGGGGGTGCTCTATCACTATGGGTGATTGAAGGCAACGTTGAAGAAATGTTGACACGGTTTCCTAATTAAAAATGGAGTTAATAGCAAATCATCGCTAATTAGCGAATGGTTCTTTAGCCAACAGTTGAAATAGTTTTTGTTGTTTTGTTCTGGGAAGTCAATCATTCAAGAATAGAATTGGCCTCCCCTGTCCCAGGGAAATGCACAGTTCCTGTCCACTCTCCCGGCCTCCATTCCAAAAAAGAAATGCTGGTCTGGACTGGTCTGTTCAGGAACCCAAACTTGGATCTTGTCCTCTTTGGGGACTTTATCACTTGAGATTTCTCTTGCATTTCCAGGCCACAAGGCTGGAAGGTGAGGGGAGCTGCCCAACCTCAGTCAGGTCTGACCGTGTAGATTCGGGGTTATCCTATTTCTCTGGCCCCGTGAGTAGTACTGTTTCCATTTAGCGACTCCTCTGCCCTGAGAAGTCATGGAGTGGGCAACCTGGACCAGGTATATACATTATATGTCCAGATTCATATATCAGCACATTCTCTTCTTTTTATTGATTGGTTTTCTCTTCTTGGAACTTGCCTTTCGCTCTAAGTAAGATACAAAGGATCAAGCTGTGAGTGTGGGTTTACGGAGGACCCGGTAGGAAGTCTCCTGACCTTGTCTGGTCTCTTTAGAACTGACTCTACTCACTACAAAGGATGTCCTTCATATGGTTTAATCTTATTCAAAGGAGATTGCCTGGGACATTGGGGCAGAAGCCTCATAGGAATAAAAGGCAGGACTTTACTTCACCTTGAGCTCAGGAATTTAATTTGGGGGTGGAGGCAGGGAGAGAGGTGTGTTGGCAATGTCATGACAAGAATTTGGATTCGGGGTCCATTTTCCAATGCCAATCGCATACCACCTAGACATGAAAATACTACAGTACCCAAGAGTTGTGTGTGTATAGCAAGGGGTAGTATTTCATAACATTATTATCAATTGTCAAAGAAATATATATATTGTTCCAATGATTTATGCTTTGGAAAATTGCTTTCTTTTTCTTTCTAAATAAACAATTAGTGACTAAATTTTTTTTTGCAAGTACCTGTAACATTGTGGCAAATAAAATGTGTGAAATTTATTTCTATCAATGTAAACATCAGCTCTTTGGTTGACAAATGGAATACTAGTCAACCCAGTATCTAGTTCGAAAGAAGTATCTATTTAGAAAGAAAAAAAGCCATTAGTAGGTAAACATTTTTGATAAAGGAAAGAAGGAAGCATGAAGAAAACATATTTTCCATTTCTTGATAAAAAGGTTAAAAGCTTTCTAGTTAAAAGATGAAATAAAAAACACCAAGAAAGACTCTCTGGGGCCTGGCCAGTGTGGCTCAGTGGTTGAGAGTCAACCTATGAACCAGGAGGTCACGGTTCGATTCCTGGTCAGGGCATATACCCAGGTTGCAGGCTTGATCCCCAGTGTGGGTCACATGAGTTAACACTAGTTGGTTTTCAGAAAGATAATGGTCAGCACAGATCATTTTTCAAGTACATCCTTCATAATTCTCTACCCTCATTGTATATATTTGCCTTTCCCCATCTCTTCATATAAACTGCCATGTCTTAATCATGTTTTATTGATTTGGTCAATTATTCATACTACCAATCCAATATACAAGATAATGTATTGATTAACTCAAGGGTTTCAAACTGATGGACCCACAAGGGAAATTTAACCTATAGACATATTTGCTTTGATCCAACCAGTATTCAAAAGATCTAAAAGAAAAAATCACAAAATTTCAGATTTCTCGGTTTCTCTTTCCACAGAGGACCTGAATCTTATGTGACTGGAATCTGCCTAAGCAGATTAGGATGCCCCCCTTAGGTGAACCTCACCCCTCTCTGTTGCTTACACTCAGCTGGTTTTACTCATTAAATACCTACTTGGATCCCCTACGTGTGTGACACCTGCATTAGACTGGTGTTGGAGGTTGTGACTGTGTGCATACGTGTTTATGAAATAAACATTCAACCAAGATGGCTTAACAAATAGTCTCAGTCCATGTGAGAAACGAGATTATATTTATGTCAACTCATTTCCTCAGCATTCATTGATAGCCTATAAAATAGCAAAATGTCACTTTAAGAATAAAAAATAGATTCCTAATTATAAATATCATGAAAAGAAAACATCCTGTATCCACAAAGCTGCACCCTAATCCCATGAGACCTTTATCCCTACTTTGTTTTCTTCCCTCGAGTCGTTCCTTCCCAAATGTATCACAGAAAAGTCATAATCTATTTTTTTTAAAGAAGATTTATTTTGGATTAAGTGATTTCATGATGCAACATGGTTTTAAACAAAATAGAGATCAGTATGAAAATAAAATAAATTGTACACATTAAAATATCTTTCCTTCAAAGCATTTCAGAATCATAAAAAAATACAACACAAAAGCCAGGGGGTCAGATGAGGATAAGAACACAGACTTTGCAGAAAACAAACAAGGAGTCTACATGTCAGAGTTTCAGGCTCCACTTAATACCACCCGCGAATCACTTCTAGGATGTCAACAATCCGCATTGTTTGCTTTGAAAAAAAATAAAAGATGAACTTTAAATATAAGGTGAAATGAGAGCTGTATAATCTTAATGCCAATAGCAAATGCCTCCTGTTATTATTCTCTATGAAAAGTCACATTGACTAGGTATGAATTCAAAATCAACTCAATAAAATAGAAACAAAGCTATTACCTATGATACGTGGTGTGGTAGACACAGTAGGTGGAGGTGGTGAAAGGAAATGGCAAGGCTTTAAAAAAATACATCACCTGGGCTCTACTGAAATCTTAGAAATAAATATGTTTTTTTTTTGCAGAGCCTTCATATTAAAAAGTAAGCATTATTATAAAATTGGATTAATACTTTCAGTAAGAGGCAAGAGAGATGCATGTATTTTCATTTACTTTGGAATGCCTGCATCCCTATTGTAAAAACATGTAATCTTATGTACGTTCCAAATATTAACAGCCTCAAATTTTACCTATGATAGCATGTAAAGAAACATAAATAGGTTGTAATAACATCTTTTAGAGCATTAAGGTCCTAAAAGAACATTTGGTTCTTAGTTAATCCTTCCAAGGTATTTCTTGAATGTTATTCACCACCCCCCCCTTTTTTTTTGCAGAAGGTGATAGTAACCAGAAGTTTACTGATGATTCCTCATTGGCATCAGTAACAGCCAATTCAGTTTGAATCACACAACATACAGATCAACATGCCTCAGGGTTGTAATATCTTCAAAGAAAAATCAGATACAAAGACATCGCCTGCCCAAGGCGACCAGAAGTAAAAGCCACGCACATGAATGTAGTGTTCCTGTGTTCCCCGGGAAACGGGGCCTGCCCAAGCTGCTGACCTGCCCATCATGAAAGCCAACTACTCCGCATCGTAAGTCTAAGCAAATGTCTTTTTAGTCTTGATTCACTTCCTGAAAAGTTGGAAACACTGACTAGGTCTCCATTTGAAATTCAGGAACCCAGTTCTTAGGTTTTCGCCTTCTAGACTAACAGAGGACATTGAAGTCACCACTAGAAACCATGAAAATGTCTCAAAAGCTATTCGAACGCCAAAGAACGTCTACTGGAAAACACATTCCGTGGAATAAGCCAAGCAACACCCTTTCCTCTATTTCATGTACGAAGTTCAATAGTAGTAACAATGCTTCTTAAGTTTAAAAATATCCACAATGGGATTTAATACTAAATTACTGACTCCCCTGATGGAAGCTCTGGCTGGCTCTAATAGTGGGGGCTACATTCTGTTTCGCAATCCCAAAATGTCATCGACCCGCCGAACTTAGAAAACGGGCTATTCCCAAGAGGGGGTTTAGCGAGCAGCGCCCTCATTAGGCACCGTGGCACGCTTTTCCTCAAAGTCAGAAACCAGACTCAATGTTTGCTCCGACCCCACCAGCAAGCCCTACAGGATCCTCCCTCCCTTGTTTCAGCTTCCCCGTTACAGTGCTCCCTTAACAACTGCTAGTCCCACACACTCCCCTCCCGGAATGCAGTGACCACCCCTGTCTGGGCTGTTGTCAGTAATTAGCATTGTGTTCCTGGCGGGCAGGGCACGTCTTTTTTGCTTTTTCGTTTTTTATCACCCAGCAGGGAGCAGTTGGTTGGCTTTAAGCCACCATTTAGAAATGAGAAAGCTTTACTGTCTCTGGGATCCCTCTGCTTCCGTGTTAGACAAACACACCTACCTGGAAAGCACAATCGAACTGCACAGTTAATGGATTTTGCAAAGATTGGAATTTAATTGGAAGTGACAGTCTCGATCTAAACTCAAATTCGATGGGAGGAAGGTGCCTGAGATCTAGTGTTCACACTCATCATCTAAATCAGAAAGCAGGTCAGAGAGAACGAAGGGCCTGCAGCTCAGACTCGGTTTGGAGATGAGTCTTCACTTGCATGCTCTGACTGTGCAGACTTACACATATCTCTTAATGACCACATAGCATCATTCCACCTGCCTGGGGGATTTCCTGGATGGGGTTTAAACTGGAAAGACTTTTAGACTCTTCATTGAAAGATGTTTGTCTTAGTTAGAAGTGGTCATGTTCTAAATACAATTTGTGTAGAAAGAAAGAAAGAAATTGGATGAATGTGAGAACAGAGAGGAAAAAAAAACACCAACCCTGCAGTAGTTTCTTCATCCATATCACTGCCACTCCGCTACCAGGGCTTTCTACTAAAAATGAAAAATTAAAAGAAGGCTTTTGATTAAAGTCCCTTTTTCCATGATGTTGCTTCCAAATAGTATTTGAGAAAACTCAACTGCTATACTACATAAATCCACCAAAAGCAATCACATTGGGCATTCTGTTTTTCATTTCTTATAACAAATAGTAAAATGCAACCGTTAAGCGTATGGGGAGTTTTTTTCCAGGAATGTACTGTACTCATCTCTTCATGGGCTTTTCTGAGGGCGTCACATTTTAGAGTGTTTGAAAAAGTGAGCCTTTGGTAGATGAATCATCTTGCAAAATTCACTGAAAGCGAAACATGCTGGTAGAAACATTAGCCTCTCCATCTCTGGTGGCGAAACCTAGAATTGTAACTATAAAGTACTGAAACATCTCACCAGCCAGCCACGAACACCAGCCTCAAGCCAGATGGGGCGTGATACCTTCGACCCCACGAAGTGTGTGAGGATGGAGAGATGATGCCCCGGAAGTCCTCTGACACTCTAAAGTGCGACACAAACAGGTGCGACCATTGCCATTCATCATCTGAACGCCGTTTTACCATAAGGATTCTTATGCAGGTGACACAGATTTCCCTTCACTTATTACAGAATTTCTACTAAGTCGTCATAAGCACAACAGATGCTAGAAAATGATGACCACGCTTCTCTGACCAAGATCCATTCGTTTTTGCACAAGAAAAACGTTTCGACCCCAGAAGCGGGTTGGGCTCAGGACTGGCATTTCTCACAGTGAAAACGGAAGGTACACTGGAGTGCAGACCAGAGGAACCGGGAAAGGGCCACATCTCACTGGGGCATTTCTTGGACAATCTGAAGACCCTCCAGTTGTTCCTTCAGGTTCAGCTCCCCACACGCACACTTCAAACCCTTGTGCATGAATGCACCATGGGCTCCAGCACTTGACCAGTACCAACACGCTATGACATGCCTTTAGCCCCAACAGACAGGGCATTATGTGACCTTCCTCCCTTCCTTCCTCGGCTACAGTAGCGCCCATGTATGAAGCCTTCAGTGACTTCCCAGATGGAGCAAACCATTCTCTTCTCATCCCTTAATGGTAGAACAAACCAAATTCTATTGAAAAGACTTTTTTGAACCTTGGTGTCTACTCCTCTAGACCATGAACTTCTCAAGGGCGGATTTCGAATTTGCAGCTCCATGATCAGACACAGTGGCTGACACGGGCGAATGCCAACACTGTGCCTCTCCTCTCATCTCAGAGATTCTCACGTACGTACATGATGCATCGTGACTGTCTTTTATGCTATAAGACGGGGCAGTATGAGTATCACTTAAGAGCTTCTTAAAGGAACAAGGCCATACAGCGAGTTACCCAGTTCACAGTCCAGAAGAAAAAAATATATGGATGTTTCTAATTGTAGAGTATATTCAAGACTAAATTATTCTGTGGACATGATATTTAATATTCTAGAAAGTGATTATTGGAGTTTTTGTTTTACTAGTGAAAAAAAAAAGGTCAGTAACCATGGTGTTTTGATAGGCTAAGTACATCTTTGAGAATCCCCAATTCTGAGAACAGTAGCAGCTAGGTGCTTATACTGTTATACGAGAAGTTGGATGCCCTAACAAATAAATATATTTCTTAGAAATAATTAAAGAGATACACTTTACTTCAAATTTCTTTTACCTGATAATGTGGAGTATGGTAACCAAGTGTCACAGACCAAAATGAAAGCTCACGTGGTCTAGGAATGTATTTTTGAAAGAAATGCCACCTTCAATTTCAGCTGTTTAGAGAATGCCGGCTCTGAAACATCACATTACCATTAAAAATGTCGTTTTTTAAATAAAGTATATTATATGATTTCCCTTGTAATGAAAACATATCAACAAGTAAAAATAATTTGCAAAATTAAAAATACTTACATTCATGGTCAGTAAGTACACACTAATTGTTCCAGTTAAAAGTTTTTCTCTTCCCTTAGTTTCTGGTCCAATGACAGGACACAGGTACCCCTTCCTTCCCCACCTGCGAGCTTTGGGGTCTTTATTTCAGAACATTTCCCCGCCCGGCAGCATCTGCCTCTAGTGCAGGAACGCAGCCTGAGTGGCTTTCCTCTCGAGACTCCAGCAGTGAATGCAGCTCACCCAACAGGGGGGCAATCTGCTCTTAAGACCAACCTACAAAACCCACGCACATGACCTTTACAAAGTGTAAGACCGCCAACATCCCCCAACGAGGATCCCACGGCTACTTATAGCTCAGAGAAGTGGTCGGGCAATGCCTGTAAAACCATAGGCTGGCAAACCAAATGTTAATCCAACGCTTTTATTATTCACCATTTAACTTCGCTGCATTGAACCTCTGATGAGTTATGGCCATACATCCAGAAATAAACAACGATGTGGAAAAAACCCGAAAGCAGTAGAAACGAAGGACACCCTCTGAGAAAACTAAGCAAGTGTAACATTAGTGGTGTCATGCAATGTCCGAGGTATCCTAGAAGACCTGTTTCCTTATGTTGATAAGGAATTTATGCATCGGTGAAAATGCAGGCTTGGAAAGAGTACTGAGGGTTTCCGTTTGTGACATCTTCACCGACGAGGGAGATGGAATTCTCGTTACTAAAGAGAGCTGACCCCTTAGGTGTTGCTGATGGCTCCCTCAGTGAGCCCGGTGTTTCATGATGCTGTACAAATAAAAAGCAGGGGGGTGGGGTACGAAATATCTTTATTAAATGCCATCCTGTAAAGTATTTGATGGATGGAAGAGTCTAATGCATTTTAAATAAATGCATATCGTACTATCACATATCGTGAGTCTTAAAAAATTATTACTTAGATGCACAGTCCTGTAGTGGTAGACATGGCACTGTGGAGAAGTCTGAATTTCCAAGCTGTTTCCTGTTATACTTGCCCAGTGATGGAGTTGCTGTCAGTCATCTTGTAACGTCCCTTCAACTTTGGTACATTCAGTGCAAAATATTTCGGGGAATTTTTTTGTACCTTTAGAAAAATAAAAGGCCCTTTGGTTCCCTGGACAGTGCTTAAAAGGATACCTACTAGCATGATGCCCAAGTAAGCATGGAACATGGAAATGGATCGGGCAACACGAACAGTAGGACAGGTGGGTTCCTATATACACCTCAAAGAACATAAATATCATGAACCTATAAAAAAAAATGAACAGAACTCACCGTGGACTTTTTTCTGATATGCTGTGAGTTAATCGCTAGTTATTTAAAATTGTTTCCATGCATTAGAGAGCATACAATCTGTCGGTAGTAATTCCCTGTGGAACAGTCTGTCTCCAGCCATAATGACACACAGACCACTTTGCATATCCATCGTCACAGACCACCTTATTGCAAATCTTTAAAGTTGCCTCATGTTGACTTGGTTTCATTTCCACTCGGGTCCCGTGGAAGCTGAAACCTACGTGCACACCATGCAGGCACACATAAGCAAGAAAAGGAATATTCTGTGATAACTTGGGGCTCACACAAAGGTACTTTTGGGAAATACACGTGTTTTTATTCCATTATTGAACTCGCACTAATTTGGAGATCGGGTCAAGGGCTGCGGTTTGGCTTGAATCACGTTCAAGGTTAAGTTTCAAGATTCTCCCAAGTCCCTGCACAGTGACCTTGAGCTGACCCGCACAGGTTCATCTTGGTCTTGGAACGCAACGAATGGGAAGAAGCGTGGGAGTCAGGACCTGCTGATTGAAAGACTGTTGGGTTGTCCCCTGGGCATCAAGCTCACCCCCATCCTTCAGAGAGGACTCCTCACCGAGATCCAGTCCCCAAACGTGGCTTAGACTTGTCAAGTGAAGGCGTTACTCGGATGGAAACCCGCTCTGGCCCTCCCCGTGGTGGGCCATCCTGGGAGGGCAGCTTCCCCAACCGCCTGTCCCCATGCAGCCGGGCACTGGGCTTCCGGTCACTCAAGTCCAAAGGTGCTGGTCTCTTCAACCGCTGTCAGGAGCTTCTCATACAGCATGGAGAACGAGGGGTACGGGGGGAGGTCCAGGCGGTTGAAACACGTGTGAGCTCTGCAAACAGAAGAAGCACATGGAGCTTAGAATGCTTAGGGTGAAAGGAGATTGTCGTGTGCGTGTGTGTGTGCACACGTGTGCGCACACGTGCACAAACAAGTTGGTGTCTTGTCTATTTTCACACTCCTTTTGGAGAAAACTTTGAAAATATTTTGACTTGAAATTCTGAATTGAAAGCAAAAATTCAGAATTAAATTTCCCTTGGGGAAACGGATATTTAAAAAGTGTATTTTCTTTATATTTTCACAACCACTTATCCATTTGACATACATATTCCTATTTGTTTAATTGTCTCAGAATTACAAAGACAAGTTTGGTTTTTTGTTTCTCTTTTGACATTACTTTTATTAAAAAATATATTTTATTGATTTTTTGTTTACAGAGAGGAAGGGAGAGGGACAGAGAGTTAGAAACATCGATGAGAGAGAAACATCGATCTTTGTTTCTCTTTTGACATTACTTTTATTAAAAAATATATTTTATTGATTTTTTTTTTTTTTACAGAGAGGAAGGGAGAGGGACAGAGAGTTAGAAACATTGATGAGAGAGAAACAGCGATCAGCTGCCTCCTGCACACTCCCTACCGGGGGGGATGTGCCCGCAACCAAGGTACATGCCCTTGACCGGAATCGAACCTGGGACCCTTGAGTCTGCAGGCTGATGCTCTAACCACTGAGCAAAACTGATCAGGGCTTACTTTTTTTTTTTTTTTTAACAGACATGCATATACTCTTGCAAAGAAATTTATTTTCAGAATTGGCATTTGCATGGATGTTTCAGAAAATCTATGGTTTCACGGTTTTTCATTTTCTGGGGCAGGGATGGGCACCGAGTGTCTCTGAAGACCTGGCCCTGGTGTGGATTCTCCGGAAATTCCCTGGCAGGGCTTCCCTGTCAGTCAGGGCACCACTGCCGACGCCTTTGAATTCTGTGTATAATCTGTTTTCTCCTAAATCACAATGCAAAACAATGGCCATTTAAAACATTACATAAAGTATTCTTTTTTAGAAATACCCCCCCCTCTTTTGCCTAGATAGGGAAAAACTATGCTTTCCTGTTTTTTGCACCTGAATCACAATAAAAAAAAATTGATGGTCTTCAGATAATACATCTTATCAGGAAGCAAATCTACACTTTGACGTGGAACAGAAGGCACTTTATTATGAATGTACAACAGCTTGTTTGTAGAGCTAAACTTTGACTTAAATGCTCCTGCCCTGGCCCGGTAGGTCAGTTGATTAGAGTATCATCCTGATGTAAAAGGTTTGTGGGTTCAATCCCTGGTCAGGGTGCATACACAAATCAACCAATGAAAGCATGAATAAGTGGAACAACAAAGCGATGCCTGCCTCTCTCTCTCTCTTTCTCTCTCTC